AAGCGATAGATCGTTCAGCCTTAGACGACATATAAAGTTTTCTCTCATAAAAATGGATTGTGTTGTCTAATTTTCTACAACTCATTCTCTTTATGTCTGTTATTTTGTCATTCTCTTTCCCTTTTGTTCTTTTTCTCCACCATCTTTTCCATCTCTCTCTATCTTTTGTTCTCTCCTGCTTTCCCCCTCTTTCTCCTTCCCTGTTCCCTCTCAATCTCTTTCATCTCTCCCTTTTCTCTCACTCTAACTTCCCTTCTCCCTATCTCGTAATTTGTTCCTTTTCCTCTCCCTTCTCTTTCTCTTTTTCCTGTCTCTCGCTCTATACCTGTTCTCTATATCTCCCTCTATGCCTCTCTCTCATCTGGCTTTCTCTCTCTTCCCTCCTGCTTCCCTTCACTCATTTCTCTCTTTTTATTCGTCTCCTTATCTTTTATCTTTCTCCTCTCTGTCTTTCCAAAAATCCCTCGTATTTCTGCCTCCTTCCTATTTCTCTTCCACCGTTTCAATCATTTTGCTTCCACTGCCCCCTCTCCCTCCCTGTCTTCCTCTCTCTCCTCTTTCCCGCTCTCTTTCTCTCTCTCATCCTCTCCCCGTCGTGTTTTTCCTTCTGTCACTGCTCCATATGTTCCCTCTCATGTCTGTGCTATAGTGTAACACATAGCACTGCTGTGTCTGCTTCCTGTACCTCCACTTCTGCTGCCAAGTCAATCACGCGAACTGCAAACTCTTTTTCAGACTCACATGGGGACCGCAGCCAATTTTGCTGTGCTGAATGTATGGTATTTTCATAGATGAATATTCTCAAGACAGAAAATCTCAAATGAAACCAAACCATTTCTATCAGTGACAGTATGTTGTTGTGGGTAGAGTTATCAAAAGTATACAAAATAAAACTGGCATCGAAACTATACAAATTTGAACAAATATCGATACTAAAAAGGTCCCATTCACAGGAGAGTAATAAACCTTTCCTGAATAGCTTTAGAATGATCTTTAGAACCTACCTGGACCACTGATGATTTTCAGATATCAGTAGATTGCACAATTTAACCTTTTCTGCATCTATTTCTCCATTAATTATTATCTAAAATGACAAATCAGAATCATAATGTTCATTTCATTTCATTTAACACAATTTATTTTAATAAAACCTGTACTTTTTAATCATTCATTGTGGCAACACTGCCTAGAAATAATCTATTATATTAATCTCCCCATGCAGGGCCCACCAGACATCAAAACTTGTTATTATCAAAAGGAAAATATTTCTTTCGGGACAAGTTTTCCATTTTTATTCAGAAAATGGGAGTTCATAAAGCTGGATACATAGACTACTAGACAAATATTCAACAATGTGAATGGGAGTAAATTAAGGCTCTTACTGTGGTTTGGTCCTGATTGTGAATAATCGAAATACTACGATGTTTCTTTTCACTATAGGGCTGTAGTCCTTTAGTCGTATTGTCGATTAATCGGTCAGTGGTGTCTCAGTCGACCTACAATTGTATTAATCAACTCATTTATTAAATGTAGATTATAAGGATTTACCAAGGAGGAGAGTTAGCAGAAGATTTGGTATTTTTTGATACTTAACATGCAAATGTAAAACGGCAGATTAGACTCATTCACGTTTCAAATTTAATCCTTATAATATAAATACTTGGTCTCCTGAACTAGTGCAGGTGTAATCTTGGGAGTCCAGTTTGGGTCAGATACATGGAGAGTTGATATAACATAGCAAAAATCAAAGGTATCTAAAGCAGACTTGGAGAGATTTATCCATGCGTCTCCAGTACGTCAGACCTGCTCACTGGCCTCTCCAAACGAGCTGTGAGACATCCAGAACGCTGCAGTTCGGGTCCTGACTCGAACCTGGAAATACAAGCTCATGCGTCCTGTGCTCAGGTCTCTGCACTGGCTCCTGTGGCTCAGAGAATAGATTAAAGCGTCTCTGCTTGTGCACAAATCTCTCCATGGCCTAGCACCAAGGTACATCTCTGACATGTTAGTGCCATATGAACCATCTGCACTCTGAGGAGCTCTGGCGCCCAGAATCAGAACTGAACACGGGGAGTCAGCATTTCAGATCCATGCAGCCAAAACCTGGAACAGTCTTCCTGAAGATGTGAGACAGACTTTGACGCTTTTTAAATCCAGGCTCAATACGCTTCTGTTTAGCTGCGTATGACGGAAAGGTTTTCATTCCGCTCTCTTCTCTATCATTTAATGTCTCTTTCTCTTTCTGTTAATTTGATCATGATTATTGATGTTTTGATTTGTTCGTATTGTGATTTTAATGTCTTTCTTATTCTGTAAAACACTTTGAATTACTTTGTGAACGAATTGTGCCCTACAAATCAACTTGCCTTGCCTTGATGGTTTTGAAAGCTTTTGCCCTGACCCGTTTTTTCGTTGACTAATCGATAAGCTGGACATGTCTTTAGTCAACCAAGAATTTCTTTAGTCGACTACAGCACTACTTTTCACAACAATCATAACATCAACATTTTGTATCGTCCGTAAAATGTCCATTAGTGTACAGATGTGAGACTGAATGGTTGTTTGTCTGTAACTCGTTTTAGTCTTGTGGGAAATATTCTGTGTTGATCATGCTGATTCACCCAATATCTTACCTTGATAGTTTATAGTACCTTGGAATGACAACAGGGTGAAAAACACGTATGACTATCTATAGTTCTATAAAAGACATGTTTTTCTGTACTTTGAGATGCCACGAAGCAGAAAACTGATGTATGTGGACCCCGTGGCATGTACCCACCCATGATAAAGTGTACCGGGTCAGCATTATTGCTCATTTTCTTGCTGTATATGCTAAATCAGCAAGTTAATGTTTTGTCAGATGTGTGGTATAAAGCTACCCCTCATTGTGAGTTGGGCAGAGGCGTCGTTCCGGGGTGGCAGTTGTACTTGGTAATCAACACTGAATCCCTCTCAATGGAAAATGATGAAATAAAGTGGCCTGTTTCTCGGATCCTTCCATCTGAACCTTCCGAAAAAACCCACAGTCTGCATAAATTTAAAAATATTGTCTAAACTTGTCCTTTTCTGTTTTATCTTACAGTGTGAACCCAGTTACCTACTGAGCAAGTTGAAGACCGAAGGTGGATCTTGTCTGGTCTAAAGTCGTACTTCCTGGAGTTCTTCTGTTGGACTACAAACTGTGGCTTCTCATTTTCACCTCCTCCCCTTTTTCTATGAGACTTGAATCCTTCTGAAACCATTTTTTCTGACCAAAACCAGGTGCCAAACCAACTGTGTCAAAAGCAGAAGCAAAAAATCTTTTTATACAACCATAACTACACATTTTAGCTTTAGCCACTACTATAACTGCACATTACTTCCTAGTTTAACTCAAAATATCTTAACTTTATTTAAAAAAACACTTACATTTTGGGAGCGTAGACATTTATATCCATTGTCTTCTTGTTAGTGTTAGCGTAGCTGCTAATCTTGATGCTAAAAGTGGAGAGACAACCAGTGCATTATTGGTTCAAAGTGCTTTATAGACATTTCCAGACCTATAGCCTACCGAGTGTCAAGCTAGCCGCCCTCCTTCGCCGCTGCTAATGCTAACCGCTGAGGACAAACGCTAAAGCTAACCGCTAGGCTGACCGCTAACTCTCCAGATCTCCGCGCTGTGATAACCTCCTTACACTTCTTCTATTTTATCTTCCAGTTGTTTTGTTTCTTCCATGGACGTGGCGGACGTTAACGCCACAGCGAACGAGCAGAATAGGCCCTTTATCTAACATCACTGACCTCTTCTCTAATGTTATTCTTCCTTTGAATCTATTACAAACATGCAATTTCAACCTAAATGTAGGCCGAAATCATAACCGAAAGCCATACCTAACACCAGCCATATTTTTCACGTTCAAAAATCGCCAAACGAAGTGATCTTTTTTACATCGGTGCACTACATATTCAGGGAGTCGATGTAGATACGGAGAAAAGGACTATTTGAAATTTGAAGTTTCATGTGAACTTAAGGTGGTTGTTGACTTTCCGTACTGAGTCTTGTGTAGATTTGCTTTGACGAATGAATCCGGATATTTTCATGCGTTCCTTGTGGGTAGAACCGCGTTGCCCTGCCAGGATAGGGCCCAAACCTACTTTCGTTTTATTTTGTTGGGCGAAACTTAACTCCGAGCAAAGACACTCGCGCAAGGACACTGACCGCACATAGAAAGAGAAGCAAGCTGCGCGTTTTCAAAGCTTTTTAACGTGACTCGCGACTGCCTTTTTGCGTTGTTGGCTCTTAATATTTCCACCGTCCACTACCGCTACTTCTATCTTTTATACGAACCAAAACCGCAAGCATATTACCTTTATTAATTTATCTGATTTTAAACTCGTGCCAAATTGTAAACGTACTTCCTTTGCTTGACGTTGGCTTGTTTACGCGACGAAGCTGCCATTTTGAACCTGCTAGTGCTGTTTACGAATACAGTTAGCGTACAATTCATTACAAAAAACAATTTAGCGCTATATAGGTGACCGACATAAAGACATTCACTAGAAGTTTACATTTAAATGTTTACAGATTGAGCCCATTTAGCAGTTCCATGCATGAATCGTAACTCGTGTGCCATACAAAGTCGGAAAAACCTCTTTGTAACGTATAGGAGGAGTTTACACTTAACTAACTTCATCTGTTTACACTAGATTATTCACTGCCTGAGGTGATGACTTTGGCCAGTAGACTGACAACTCAACCGTGCCAAAAGAGATCATAATATATTATAAAGGAAAACATACGCTGCCACACTCAAAACCCTTTATTTTCAAGCAGGCATTTTTCCTAGGGCCTAAATAACACAACCTCACTATTTTTTAAGCTGCTAACGCAAAGGAGGGAGTTTACAGACGAATTGAGAAGCCACATTGAAAAAAAAAAAAAGAATTGCCTGAACCCTTTGCACCCTTTGTATTGTGAAGATTTGATTCACTGACTGGAATTTTCATAAAGAGATATTTTTACGACTCGGATAAAAGACTCTTGTTTGTGAAAGAAGATGGAGGACAAATTAGGGATGCTCTGCTTGTCCCTCTTCATCTCGTCCTGCCTGGCGGTCTCCACGGTAACCCTCTCCACGGAGCGCCGCAATGCTGAGACTCAAAAGGGCGTAAGTAACGTTTTGGGGAAATTTGAGTTATATATAGATATAAATGAAAGCGTATAATGAGTTGGTTTGATGGCATAGATTTGTACAAGGCCAAAAGGACAGAAGTGCTACAAAAAAGACTGTAGAAATGGTTTGAAAATAATATTTAAAATATATATAATCAGAAAGGCGTAAGTAACAGTTTGGGCAAATTTTAGCTGTCAAATTAAAAGTGCTCTATGTAACGTTTTGGTTAGGGGTCTGTCAACCAGCTTGTTTCTATGGATATGTCATTGCTCTGCCTGAAATGTTCCACAGTATGACATTAAACAGCTCTACTTACATTTATCCAGTTATAAATGGTTTCATAGCTCAAAAATACCTATTCTGACTGCGAGTGGGGTTGCCTGTCCACAGATCTGAGCTATAACTTGTTCTGGTTTGGTTTCCATGAAGACAGAAAGGTTTAATACCATACTGTGGAACATTCCAGACAAAGCAATAACATCTCTACGGAGAAAACATTTGATGGACCCTCCACCAAAAAAAATTACACAATGCACCTTTAAAGAAGATTATGAGCCCTGGGCAAAAAATGTCAATATCACAATTGAGAATGAGATCTGAAAAACAAACTTCTATTTCTGAATATAGAACTGTTTGGAGTCAAAACGAATAAATGCCTAACCAGGCTGTTGCCACCTAGTGCCTCCGCTCAAATTTCATTTCTCCCCAGCGACTAGGTCTGGAATCAGAATACACGAGATACAGTTTGCAAGAACCCCGTATTTGTAGACCGTGCACTGGCCAATCAGCAAAGAGGTGTGAAGCCATGACTGGGTCCCTTTTTGTGGTACAGCATGACAGTAAACAAAGTTGTTATTTGCTGAATTTTATCAAGGGGAAAGACGTTATTGCTCTTCTTCCTTTCTTCCTACGAGATTTGGGAAAGTTATCCCCGTTAGCAGTGCATTACATACATCACGACCAAATAGCAGTTATTGATTGAGTTAAGAAAGTACCGCCTACCACCAAGCAAATGAATCCTAATGCTGCAAGGTCAGACGGTTTCCACGAAGTGAAACCAGCTGATGAATGAGGCTAATAAATGCCATGATTTTGATGGATCTATCATATTTAAAGGTGCACTATGTAACTTTTCTTGTCCTCTTTCTTGTTTCCATGGAGATGTTATAGCTTTTCCTGAATGTTTCCACATTATATATGATCTGCAGATCTATGGAGATGCATGTTTTTTGAGGCATTTTTGGGCAGTAAAACCAATGACAATAATCCAATAACATCTGAAACCTTATTTTCTTCATTATTGTCTTTGTCATCTTGGTCATTTTCAGGCCTCGAACCCTAAACTGAGCTCCACGCTGTTCCTGCTCACTGGTCAAAAGCCCCCCCTCCTCCCCCCACCCGCCGGGCCAAAGGTCGCTCCTAAAAAGGCCGAGGTGGAGGACGGAGACGAGCCGGTCATGGCCGAGCTGCCTCCGAAGCCCCTCCCACAGACCATGCTCCCCAGGAACATGACTGCTGCCGACGCCCTCAAGCCGCCACTAGGGGCCGCTCAAGTCGCCCCGCCCCCAAGACAGCTGGTGGATGTGGATATGTGCAGGTAAGAGCACGCATAACCATATCTTTTACAGTATTATTATCAGGAAATAGACTCTTTTGTATGTTTTATGTAGATCTCATTCTCTTTCATGAGGTTAAAGGTTCCATAGATATATTGTAAAACCACAATTTTAATAGTAGTAAATCACAAATGTAAACTATGAACAGTTGGTAGAGCATTTGTCCACTGATCCGAATGTCGATGGTTCAAATCCTGCTCTCTACATTAACATCATTGGTCCACAGATCCACAGGCCCACAGGTTGGCTTGGCGATTCCTGCTCCTACACTTGAATTATGTCGTGGTGTCCTTGGGCAAGACACTTCACCCACCTCGCTCCAAGTGTCTGTGTACACTGGTGTATGAATGTGTGTGTGGGTGATGGGTTCCTTGATGTAAAGAGCTTTGAGTGCCTTGAAGGTGGAAAGGCACTAAATATAAAAATGTGACCATTTACCATGACAATATTATTTAAAAACAAATTTCAAATGCAGTACTTATATACACTGAATCCATTGTTACCTCCGCCAAGGAGGTTATGTTTTTGCCGGCGTTTGTCTGTTTGTTTGTTTGTTTGTTTGTTTGTCTGTTAGCAACATAACTCAAAAAGTTATGGACCGATTTTGATGAAATTTTCAGGATTTGTTGGAAATGTGAAAAGGAAGAACTGATTTCATTTTGGGGTTGATCCGGAAGAAATCCTGGATTCTGGATCACTTTGACATTTTAGTTAACATTGTGGTAAATGGGGCCAAAAATTTTGTTTCTCAATATCTGGGTTAATTATTGACCAAACCCCATGAAATTTGACTCAGGGATGGACAATGGGATCCTCTTTCATATTCCAAAGGCTGATCCGGATCTGATCCAGAAGACTGATTTTATCGCAATTTATATAAAAAATGGGGGTAGTCCTTGGCGGAGGTCTGCGCTCTCTGACTGCTTTTCTAGTTATTATAATTTTTCGCTATACAATACCCATACTTGTTCACCTTATTCAAACCACTTTGCACTGTCTTCAGCTAATAATCTGCAGGAGTTTAGTATTTGTTGAAATCCTGTAATACTTTAACCTGTTTCCATACAAATGTTACTGTTATGTTCTGCTGTTAGAAAATGACTTAAATAATACCAATGCAGTAAATTCTGTGATCAAAGCATCTATATATAGATAATCTTGAACTTGTTACGTCTTCTAAATACTTCTAAATTGTAACAACCAAAATGAGGACAGGAGTCCCGTTCGAAATGAAACAAGTGCATAATACAGCGCAGTTCCTGTCCCTCTCGCCTCACCATAGCGTTGATGGCTCTGATGGCTCTGATGGTTCTGAGTTTGCTGGGAGCGCTGCATACTGAGATCTCACTGAGATACTGGCTGTTTGGTGAGAGGCGTCTGGCTGTTGCTTAGTAACGCTCTTGGTCTCGGGATGTTTGTGTCGGTGTCAGCACTTGGACTACAAGAGCCCCTCGTTCTCATGGAAACAATACTCTGATCAAACTGCAGCCAATCGCACGCTCTCATGTACATATGCGTCCTCACACAGACAGATGCACTGGGCTAGAAGCACTTTAGTTTTCATCAACACATTTTAAATGCATTTTAACATGCAAAAATGTGAAGGTGCGTTACTAGACCATTGAACTGCTGCCAATCTTCAGTACAGCAAACCAATAGGAATGACCTGGGGCTTTTGTTTTTATGAAACTTAAACTGGATCTCAGTCAGAAAATGTTACAAATAAGAAGTGTACCTCTCATCAAGCACCCTTTTCAAAGGACTGACTGATATGTAATAATAAAAGAAACTATTGCTGTCATTTTAAGATTTCAGGGTAACAGTTGTTTTGTTTATTTTGTATGACCATGTGGACTTATATATTAGTTCTGACCATTTTATAACTATTCAGGAAAAGTTCAACCTTGTCCTGCTTGCATTATGTGTCAGTATCAATGCCTGAGTATCTAGTTTGGGTATCGTTTTAGTGTGTCTATAATGAACTTAAATTTCTGGTAAGTAGGCAATAAAGAATCATTACAGAAACCGGAAAGATTTTCTGTCCCAAAGGCTTTACTGGCTAGGACAGGTGTAGTGTGAGATGGGGAGAGAGAGATGGTAAAGACATTCAGCAAACATTTAAGACCAGGAAGCAAACCCACGACACTGAGGTAGTAACAGCCACATACAGCAACGCCTTAAACCACTAAGCCACACTACAATCACAACACCACAACTAACAAATTGGCATCTTTACTCTTTTGAACTTTTTGATGTTATCTGAAACCCTTGAATTAACTTGAAGCACATGTATTACATTATGACATTCTTTCACCATTTCTTCCTCAGGGGTTACTTTGATGTGATGGGGCACTTTGACAGCACCTTTAATTGCTCTCGGGGCAGTTACATTTACTGCTGTGGCACATGTCACTACCGCTTCTGCTGTGAGCACCAGAGGGACCGACTCGACCAGGACTCCTGTAACAACTACAACTCCCCCGTGTGGATCGAACAGCAAGGTGCAGCTACGCAGGCCGCGGGTCAGAATCCCGACCCAGACTTTGAGACGCTCCAGCAGCAGAGCTCCAGGTACAGGACAAGAACAGTCACAGACGGGATAGTGTTGATCAAGTACTGTACTTTTCCTTGTTACTTAACATACAAATTGTACCTTTATTCCATCACATATCGTTCAGGTGTGTATTAGGGTGCACACATACTAGACGAGTTGAACCCACCCAAGCACAGAAAGCTTCCAAAGTGTGGTACAATAGTCTAGTGTGAGTGTAAACGATCTGTTCTGGTTTCCTGAGAATGCACACTCACAATTTTAGTTCACAAGCCCTGACATGTGTTTACCTAACAATAGACAAAGTGGGCAAGGCCTCCCTGTGAAGGTGAAGGTTGGGTTGTAGTACAGTAGTAGTAGTAATTCTGTTGATGGTGTTTACCTGAGTAGTATAATGGCAGTAATATAGTATGCAGTACTAAAACCTTCTCATATATTCTCATGAACAGCACGGCGTATGTGATTGGAGGAGTGATCTCGTTCACGCTGGTGGTGGCCGTGGGAGTGAGGATCGCCTTCAGTAAAGTCGCTCGAAGACCCAGAAACAGGGACATCAACATGCCCAGGTCAGACTGAACACATGTATATGGACTGGACTCACTTTGTCTTTTAAACTGCTCAAACTGCTTTAAAAATGAGTGAGATTTTGTTATAGTCAAAATGCACATTTCTTCTATGGAAAATTCTGGATCTAGCCTCATGAAACAAAAACTGGCAGAAATTGAAAAGGTCTTATAGTACGCAAAATGGACTCTTGTGAGCTTTAAGCCATGTTATCCTCACTAAAAATATACCTGGAGTTGTGTTTTGTTTCATTCACACATTTGAATAACCCTTATTAGTCTGTGCTTGTCTCCAATGGTTAAATGCTCTGTTCCACCTTGTGATGTCATGAAGCTGTAGTTTTCATGTTAACAGCTCCTTTTAACGTCTTTTCAGTAGATATTCTAAATGATCTTAGTGAAGGTGTATGGACTTTGAAAACACAGTGGAGCACTGCCTGTATTATCACATGACATCACAAGGTGGGACAGTGTTTTCTGTCTGAGAGAAGAACAAATATTCAGGATTTACGTGTTAAACATAACAAAACAACTACAGGAAACAACATTATAACAGATCAGAAAATAGCACAATATGGGCCCTTTTTGCGTAGTGAAATGATATTCTTAGACTCTTCTTTCAAAAAACAAGAATTGCCCATGAAGTTCTAAAGAGCTCTGGGTTGAATGCAAAACATTTTGTGTTTGCGGCTAGACATGCGAAACATAACTAGAAATAAATAAATTCTGTACATAGCAGCACACCAGCAATCCAACTGTGTCTCAAAGCGAAGGTCACTTTTATTAAAATCCTAAAACATAAAACAAACAATCTATTAAAATTGAAATTCATGAAATTAAATTATTCATTAAAATAAAGACTCCTCAGTTATTTTTATATGTAGAATGCTTAAATTTATCATGTTTTTGTCATATATTAGGGTGACTAAACGTCCATTTTTCCCTGGACATGTCAGTTTTTTGAGTCCTGTCCTGGGCGTGCGGGTTTTTTTTTTTTAAGTGATGGAATTGACTGGGTTTTCATTATCTTTCATTGGGGCCATTAAATTGAGCAGCTCTCGTAGCTCTCTGTGCTCTCAGGTCAGTCGGTCAGCCCGCAACATGTCGAAGCACAAATGCGCATTTAACAATGACTTGAACAAGAAATTCTCCGTTTTCCGTCCTGATCAAGACAAGTGGGAGGCCATGGGCACAGGTTGCGAGGTGAGAGTAGCTCAATATCGAGGCCCCACACCCGACCCCGGTAAGGTGTGCAGGTTTTAACAAACGGAAATATGGTCACCCTATCAGATATATATAAGGCCTCAACATTAGCACTTGAGAAAAACATCTCTCTTTCCATTTTAGCCCAACTCGACAAGAACCTCAGAGAGATTAAATTGGACAGGAAGTAGTGCACAGAGCCCGTTGGTCCCTGCCCTCTTTTTGATATCATAAAACTGATCATTGATTGGTGTGTTGTGTCTCTCTATTGCAGGTCCCTGGTGGACATCTTGCGTCACCAGTCGAGCCCGGTGCAGCAGGGAGAGAGGAACAACACCACCATCCTGGGCAGTACTGCTTCAGACGGACGCACCTCCAAGAACATCTACACCCCCGTGCTACAGAGCAAGGACAACCGCAGTAAGTCACACTCACACCGTTTCATGACAACACGCATTTACTTCAACCTTTTTTATTTTAATACTGCTTTTTTATTCAATTGGACGGCTAAGTTTGAAGTTCTAATCAGCAACTGAATCATAGAACATCAGCTTCTCTTCCTGAGGTTTATGTCATACATATTACTTTTGCAATTCTTATCTCTACCTGATTTTTATGGTCTTAAAAATGTGAAAAATAGAAGTTGTTCTTTTTGGACAGTTTGCAGTGGTCCAAAGTTATTCGTCATGTACCTTATGCATTTAGAGCATCCTTATTATTCACCACGATAAGTTTATAAGCGCTTTTCACAGCTTTCAGAGACCAGTTTGGAGTTTTGCTGTGACACTAACGCTAACAGCAACTAGCATGCTAACGTACTTCCTGATTATCAGACAGTAAAATGCTTTCTGTACTGAGGGAAAACAAACTGAGCTCAGATTCATGGGGGGAAATGGATACAGGCCCTTTAAATGTTTCCAAATGATCAGTTCTTTATACAGAAGTTGTCAATATATTTAAAAAAATATCGCTTTTAACACTTATAATAAAATGTAATATTGATTAAATTCAGGTGTCTGAGAGCAAAGTAAATAAATACATGAATAAATAACAATAATAGGAATCTCCACGTGTATTAATCACAATTATTCATTCATTTATTTATTGCTCATGCTATTATTTTTTTGGCATCGACATAAAAAGAACTACAAAATATTTGAAAATTAACATAACATACATACATACATTACTTTACATACATTATTAACCAGAGCAGACACACACAACCTTAAATATTCTGTTCTTATTTGTATTTAATATTTTTTCAGTAATACATTTTTAGTTGTTAATTGAAGCGCTGAACAACTAGTTTGAATAGGCCCTCAGAGTATCTGTGTGTCTGGGTTAGTCACAACATGTCAGTCAAATGTTGAACTTGACACCACAGTCAAGAGGAAGCTATTAACACATGAAGGGCTTTGTAAGAGTTTTACACACAAAAACAAAAAAAATAATAAAAAAAATAAATATGGAAATGTAGAAGCGGTTCTGAATAGGAAGTCAGTCAAGTCATATCTATTAGTAAAGGTGCACTGTGTAACTTTTCTGGTGGAGGGAACCGCTACCTGCTTGTCTCCGTGGAGAGGTTATTGCTTTGCCTGGAATATTCCACAGTATGGCATTAATGATTTATCTCCCATTCTATTAATAGTTTTTTATTGCCGAAAAATACCTGAAAAAACATGCATTCTTACTGTGAGTGGGGTCGCCTTTTCCCAGATCTGACCTGTAACTTTACCTGCCAACAGCTTGTCTCAATGGAGATAGATTTGTTTAATAGATAATGTAACAATTTATATGCAGTAGAACTTTCTATAGATTTTTTACCATGTTATTTTGTCTTTTAATGGCACAAGAATTTACTTCAGGATTAATAAAGTAATATCTTATGTTAATGCTATATGGTGGAACATTCCAGGCAAAGCATTAACATCTCCATGGTGAGATGCAGTGATGGACCCCCCCACAAGAAAAGTTACACAGTGTACCTTTAAATTGTTTTGGTCAATATTGCAGTAATTATAAAGTATAGAATAATGATCTTAGTATGTAACAGTTAGTATTGTTTAAAATTGACTCTTGTGAGCTTTTAGTCATGTTGGGTCCCATCCACACTAATACGTATTCAAGTTGTTTTCGTTGTGGATGCAGTGATCGTCCACACTAATCCAATTGAAAACGGCACCAGAGACAGAACGATCTGGTGCCACCACCTCCCACGAACTGAGTACGGATCTGATTTGGCACTGTGTGGACGCCTGAAAACGCTGATACGCTGATACGCTGATGCAGGTCTATGCACCGCAAAGTAGCTAATTCACCGCCAAAATGCTAAGAGGCTAGCATATATTTATATATATGGTCTGTGCGTATGACCTGCAGTCGTATAATCTCTGAAAAGTTTCACATGAACCATCTCCAACACGTGACAGAAGCACAGAACAGACTCACCATCAGCAGAACAACCCCTCTGTCACAGAAAGAACACATATAATCCACTGAGTCGTGTCCGACAGAAGCTGAACCACATCAGCCCATAATAGCGAGCTGTTTTTTGAGTGCTTCGTTTATGCAATTTAGCCATGCAGTTTTAAGTTTTGTTTCTGTAAAATGTAAACAAATATGCTCAAAGTTGTGTGGATAAGGAAGGATTTCAGACACAGAAATGACGTGTGTGGACACAGCTTGTTTCCGATACAGTGATACGCGGATACGTTTCAGTGTAAAAAAGGCTTTAGAATGTTGTTGCCTCCTCAAAAACATACCTGGAGTTAAGTTTTGTTACATTCATTCAGTTACATTCCTTTTATTAGTCAGGTTACATCTCCAAATCTCAAAATGCGCTGTTCCACCTTGTGATGTCATGAAGCAGTAGTAGTGGAAATTCCAGGTCTGACATTATCCAAATGATTCTAGTGAAGGTGTATGGAATTTAAAAACACAGTGAAGCTCTTCCTGTATTACCATATGACATCACAAGGCGGAACAGAGTGTTTTCTATTTGAACTCATCCTAAATACGCAGGATTTGTCTGTTCAACGTGTACGAGTGAAACAAAACACAACTCCAGGTGTGTTTGTGAGGAGAAAACCACATTATAACATAGCGTAATATGGGCCCTTTAAGTGACCGCTGGTGTCTGGCTCCCTGTGTGTCCCAGAGGAGCGCTGGTAATTGTCGCCTTGTACAGTTTAGCTCTCAGCCTCGCACTCACAACAAACACATCCCACCTCGGGCGCCAGGTCTGCTGCCAGGGTAAGCGTTGCCAGATAAGACAGGAGAATCTCAGCGGGCTATGTTTTCAAATTAAGCAGCACTTACACTGGATCTAATTATCGTCCATGTCTCTGGGTACTGTGTCTTTATTTAGGCCCCCACATAATGTTTTTAAATGACAGGACAGTATAATGCAGTCTTTCTTACTTGGCTTATGCTTCTTTCCTTACAGTTAAGTCATGTATTAGTTTGTATTATCACAGCATATCTAAAACTTTCTTGTGTTTTATTCCTAAATGTGCCCTACGAAACTTTTCTCTGAGAGGGTAGAGTACCTGCTTGAATGTTCTGTAATATGGCATGAACGCATTTATCTAACATCAGTTTAATTACAAATGCTTTTATTGTTCAAAACTAATTATTTTTTACCGTGCCACCTGCATGTCTCAATGGAAATAGATAATATAAAGCTCAATTGTGAAGTATTCCAGGCTAAGACATAACATCTCCATGGCGACAAGCAGGTGGCATGCTCTCTTGTAGAAAAGTTATACATTGGAATTTTAAGTATACACTATTACTGCAGTATAAGATTTTTGTCCTGGTCATTTATTGTTCTCCTTTAATCTACAAAGCTGCAGTTTTGAGCATTTTAACATTTTACTAATAACATAGTAACAGTCTAATATACGGGATTTGCAGATTTCTTCTACTTTTGCTCCCTCTGTCTACTCTTCTCTTATGGTGGTCTCTCCAGGACATGAACTAGATACGTATGCATTCATTTCCTAAAGTCATAATAGTTGTTTTTCTACTTTATGATTGCATTTGATATCTTAATCTTCTTAAAAGTGAGATCACAAAAAAGCTCATTATATAATCAAACCTATACAAGACAACAGACAAACTTAAACAATTGTATTATACTGATAGATTTCATACCTGGAGGGCCCACTGTGTCTCTCTGTCCTCTCTCTGTTCTGTCGCTTCTGTGTTTCTCAAGCACAAAGCTTCTCTGGACTCTTGCTCTGTCTCTGGAGTGCTGTGCTTCAGTTTGTCGGCTCTGCTCTCTTCGCAGCTGGGACTTTGCCTCACCCTTTTAACCAGCAGGGGGCGTCCTCCAGCCCCAAACACACAGCCACCATCGGTAAGCCTCACGCCCGAGGCACGGTTCAGACAGGGCCGGACCAATGTCCACTCACGGACATCTGCATTCGCCTGTGTCACTGACTGCTCAGGAAAAGAAAAAAAGTTTGATGTGTTATTCTAAGACCAGCAAAGAACCAGTCAGCTTATGATAATATCCACTTTATTGTCGCAATTGTTAAACTCTACTACTCTACTACCCCCATTTGACAGTTTCCATTAGCCCACCTTTACTTGTACCTTGTATGTTTTAAGTACCAGCTCTGTCGGTTTATAACCAGATCAAGTACATGTTAAAGACAGTACTGGCACTGATTGGTTTGTGCAGTCTTTTAATAAATTGTAGTAGGCAGAGATTTAAAGAGAAGAGGCACAATACTGGAGTTCTAATACAGGAGAAGTTTAATGGACATCAGTACAGAAGTGTGTAAAATCCCTCAGTCATCCATGTAGAATCCATGGCATAAGGAGAAATTCAATGTGTCAATTGGACAAAAGTTTATTTTGGTTGACTATAATTAACTAGCCAGGCTGTCGCCACCTAGTGCCTCCGCTCAATTTCATTTCTCTCCAGCGACTAGGTCAGGAATCAGAATACACTAAACGGTTTGCAAAACCCTGGAAGTTGTAAATAGTGCACCGGCCAATCAGCAAAGTGCTGTGAAGCCATGACGTCAAACTCAAGCGCCTGTCTGGGTCCCTTTTGTGGTACAGCACAACAGTAAACAAAGCAAACAAAGATGGATGTAGATGAAGACATACATTCTGTGTTGGCAACGATTCCCAAGACAGAGGATTTTCACTCTGCTTTGTTTGCTGTTACATACATCACAACCAAATAGCAACGATTGGTTAACTAAAAAAAGTACCAGCCTACCGTTGAGCAAATGAATCCTAATGGTAAAAGGTCAGACTAGCCCATTTCACTTCATGGAAACCAACCGATGAATCAGGTTAATAATTGACTACACTGATTAAACAAACACACCTACTTGTTTACAGTGTAATTAACAGAAACTAAACAAGTAGGTGTGTAAGTTTAATTTTAGTTCGCTCCTCCCTTCATGGCACGCATAAAGCAGTGTCCACCAGCATTTTGACCAGAACTGAAGAAGCAGCTTGGATGAGCTGTGAAACTGGCTATTTAATTATAGTCAACCAAAATAAACTTTTGTCCAGTTGACAAATTGAATTTCTCCTTTTGCCATCAGAACACAACCCAACACCTGGAGACATGAACCCTCAACACATTATGATACTGTTGTCCATTCAAGTCTACTACAGTCCAGTTTGACTATGCTTCTGCTGTAGGGAGTATTATACCTTTGATGATGGAAGCTGGATGGTAAGGACTGAGCTAACAGTGAGAGCCCTTAAACCAGCACAGAAATGGAATCACAAAACACAATTCATGGATATAGTTCTGGAGAATGGACTAGAGTAAAACCTACTAAGGCTGGTGGAATTTGGACCATGGATTCTTGATCAGGGAGGAAAACACACAAACTCTCCAACAAAGCAAATCATGAAGAGACTTTCAGACATGCTGCTTTATCATCTGTTTAGTAGCGTTAGTTTTAATGTTGTTGTTGTGTTTTATCACAGTTTACAACATTATTATAAGGTGCCTGGTTCTTTGAGGCCCGTGTACATCTCTGTGTGTGTCAGTCTCACAGGAGAATCAGAGAGTCTCCATGTCTGTGTGTTCTCTGGCCTGTCCCTCACTCTGCTCTGTGCGCACTCTTGAGTCTAAGCACATGTTTATTTAAATGTATGTCTCTAGGGGGCGCTGTGTTCTGTCCCGCTGCACGGCTTCAGAGCGCCCTGTCCTCTGTCCTGTGTGTGCTCACTGCTGCCCCCATGCGGTACTGCAGCTCCGGCTTAAGCTAAAGCCCACTGTCCTTATAGGCACGCTCTGCACCGCGCACAAAAGCAACGCTGGTTTTGGTATCGTGACAACATTGTGAAGGGGCTCGGGTTCTGTGGACCACACTCGGACCTGCACAAGTGTCAGGCAAGAGGCTTCAAAACATCTGCTAGGGCTTGCGAATAGAAGTCATACATGGGAGCGTACAGGAATATCTGTGCCCTGTTTTGACCCACCTTCTCCAACTGTGCCAAAGCATTCCGTGCCTGGGTACTGGACAAACGTACCAGGCTTTAGAGGCACAGTTTGATTGGCCTATTGTGAGTGCCTAAGACTCAGTGAGGTAGATGTTAAAATAATATGGCAGCTCCTGTGGTGGGGGAGAGAAAGAGAGGAGAAGGAGAGTGAGAGGGAGAGAGCGAGCAGGAGCGAGCGTGTCCAAAAACGACAGACCCATAAACCCCACGTCCCTGTATGTGTACGGGCCTGGAGCCAGCATTACTGTGTCCTGTGTATCTGTAGCGTTGCTTTTGCGCGAGGTGCACTGTGCTCCCTGGGTGACGCTTAACAAAGACATTACTGGACATTAGGGGCCATTACTAACAATGGTCGATGCCCGGTACATGTGTGTTCTTTAAACCAAAGCCCTCATATCCATCGGCACCTGAGCGCACCACATCGATTCTGTGTGAGACCAACAGCCAAAGGACAGTTTAAGGTCTCATCGTGTCCTGAAGCAGCACAGGGTTCAGCTGTGAGACACTGTGGTTAAATGGCTCTTCAGTGGGAGCTCTGTTAATATATAAGTAGTTATTAGTAGTATTAGTAGTAGTAAGTCCTATATTGCACAAAATGGACTTGTGTGAGCTTTAAGCCATTTTATAATGCTGTTCCTTCATCAAAAACATACCTGGAATTAGGGCTGCTCGATATATTATAATATTATCACGATTATTTTGGTTAGCATTGAAAGGACGATTATTCAAACGACAATTTTTTACTTACACGATGCATTTATTCAGCATTTCTCTCTCAAAAGAACTACTGTTATTGATCATTTACGCAAAACTTTCAAACTGAAAATAAATATAAGCTAAAAATATGAACCTCAGAACAATTTTGTAACTTATAAAACATAAAATGAATAAAACATACTTTGAACATGAAATAAGGAATAGAAAAAAACATAAACGTATCCAAAATAAACTATATATCCAGCTGCTCTACAATCTCTATATTTAAAAAAAAAAAATAAGATAAATATACTTATTTACATTAAGAAAATATCCCAAAATAAACTTTGTTAAGCTTTAAATTGTTTTAACTCAATTATATGATTTTAGAGATCATTTGACACACAAATTAAAATTGCAATCAAAATTCAATTAACTGCACAGCTTTAGCTGGAAATAACCATTTATAATTAGTCTGTCTACATCTCCAAAGCTCAAAATGCTCTGTTCCACCTTGTGATGTCTTGAAGTGATATTTTCAGTAGAGATTGGCAATTCCAGGGCTGAAATCATCCCAATGATTGAAGGTGTATGGAGTTTAAAAACACAGTGGAGTAGTTCCTGTGTGACATGTGCATGACATCACAAGGTGGAGCAAATGTTTTCGGTTTGAGAGAAGAACTCAGCCTAAATATGCGGGGTTTGTGAGTTAAACCTGTGTGAATGAAACAAAACACAACTCGAAGTCTGTTTGTGATGAGGAAACAACATTATAACAGAGATCAGAAAATAGAGTAATATGTGCCCTTTAATGGAGACTCAGTCATTTTGTTTAAGTAAAAGTAATTTATTATCATATACAGTAGATTAAGTATAAAATATTTAGATAATTACTCAAGGAAAACTAAACTTCTGCATTCAAAACTTACTGTACTACTATTATAAATTCAAACACGAGGACTCTATACTACATACACTGCCGTTACTACTAGTACAAAGACAGATATTACTATGATTCCCAAATAGACAAAGTACAGTTTTTTATAATATTGTAATACATACAGTATTTAAGCTCAGACTGTTCGTGTGTGTTGTACTTGGCCTGAGACCCCTGTCGCCTTGGCAGCATGGTTCTGAGCTCTGCTTGAGGCCTCCACATGTCTCCCTCGGGTGCAGCTCTGACTCCCTTGGGTGCAGCTCCATGTGAGGCCGAAGTGCTGTGTGTCCGCTCTTTCAGGAGTTTCACTGTGCTGTTTCAATGTAAATGTATGATGTAACTAATAGTGCGTTTACATGTTGCAAAGCACTGCCCCTCCCCCACTCTGCTGCTATGTCTTATATAAGGACAGCATCCTGTGTGAACGGATCGATGTGCTTTGGCTCAGTGTCATGTGTACGGGGGCATCTCCACAAGCAGGAAGATGGTGCACGGGTCACGGATATTTTAGGAGTTCAATTAAGAAGGAAAAACACTTCTTCTATGAAACTTTTACACTCAGATCTTCATCATCTTTGGGTTTCAAATGATGTTAAACTATTGCCATTAGGGATGGGCATGATTAGTCGACTAATCGATAATTGATCCTTAAGAATTTCGTCGATTACGTTCATTTTTAATCGACAAACGCAAACACTGGAGTTGCGGCCTCAGTCCCACGATTTGGCTTTGGCACCTCCTTGGAGATCACTATATCCCTCCATGAGTGCGTTTACATGCACATCTGTGTCCTGGTTTCGTCATGGTGCATGTAAACGCAGTATCCTGGTTACTGCAACATAAAGAGTCTGAGTCGTGTCCTTTAGTCCGACAGAAGCTGAACCACATCAGTGCACAAGAGCGTTTTTTTTTTTTTCCCCCTTTGCTTAGTTTTAAGTTTCGTTTCTGTAAGACGTGCGCAAAACTGCATTAAACACATTATAATGTCAAACGGGCTGATGTGGCTCTATAGTGGTTATGGTTTATATGTTGTAAAGTTGAGTTTATAGTAATAATATAAAAGTATAAAAGTAATAATGATGATACTTATTATATAAAAGCGTTAATGATTAATCGAAAATCGATTGTTAATTCTCCCAATGATTGATTGATAAAATTTAATCGAATGCCCATCCCTAGTTGCCAGAGAAATAAACTATTCAAAATATTAAATTCTTAAAGTCAATTCAAGTCATTAAAATGGCTCCCAAGCTGCATCTCATTATTACTGAACCAGGACTAAACCTCGCCTAAAAAAAACTCGGACTAAACCAGAAGTACATTTCTAATTACCATATGAATCAATACTTTGACATTGAGACATTAATAAAACTTTTTGAGGTTTTTAAAGAGATGAATGCCCAAGGTCAGTCATCCATCACAAATAAATTTATACTTTGACTTATAATTGAACATCTGAAATACTCATCTTTTCACCATATTCCTGCTTCTTGTGATCCCCCTGTATGTTAGCCTGATGCTGTCTCTGTATTTTTCTGTTTTTGAATGTGGCTGATCTTTTACACATTTACAAAACTCCCTGATAAATTCCAAAAGATTGATTTATATTTATAGACAATCTCCATGGCGCTGAGAGTTACTTCCTGTCTACTTCTTGGCTTCTAACTGTTTACTTCCTAATTTTAGAGCGTGGCCCGCGGATGAACAACTCGTCCCAGCTCCCCTCCGTTCCGGGAATGTTATCGGGCAGCATAAAGGGTCCGGGCCCCAGCGGCATCATGGGAACAGGAAGTATGCGACACAACAGCGGTCACCCCTCCTTCTCTCACTCCTTCCACAACCTGGCCCAACTCCCCCCATCGTACGAGGCCGCCATGAAGCCCGAGATCAGCCGCTACAGCTCCCTCAAGAGGCTGGGTGAGTCCTGGAGGATGGGCCTGGGGCAGACGAGAGTTTAATGAGTTTAGTTAATGGTGAAATAAGGTCAGGTTTGATCATTTAAATGTCCCAGGAGTTTGTGGTCTCTTGACATTTCTGTATTAACTGCTAATTAACTATGGGGGTACGTGATGATTACTCCAAAAACTCTAGCCTCATTCACTATAATTGGTAAATCTGAACCTGCCCCATGGCCTTGTACAGTGCCGTTTTCCAATTTATTACTCCACAAAAGCAATTAGTGTATTCTGCTTTACCTCTAGAGAGGATTTTCAAATGTAAGCTATCATTTTTATTATAATAGTTCTGGGTTTATTTTATTTTATTTGAAAAATAGGCACACCTACTTCTATTATTATATTATATACAGTGAAACAGTCTTAGATTGATCACGACAGGCAGATAAAGTCCATATTTCTGCTCTGTGTGTCAGTGTAACCCAGACACTATGATGTCACACAATCCTATAGGCTTATGAATCATGGGATGTCTGAAACATGTTAGAATAAAAGTAAACACACGTCTCACAAAATCATCTGACGCACATAGAGGGACACACATGACAGAGCTCTGCACATAACAGCTTAAAGGCTTCAACACACCAATGAGAGCTTTAAATGAGTTTTATCTGCACATCACTGACAAAATGAGTCACTGAACAGTCTGTGTGAGGGGAGGTAAGGTGGTGCTGTAGCAGGTTCACTGGGTACACTTACATGGCCAGGAAAAAATCTGATAACTACATAATCAGATAACCCAGTGATTAAGAGAAAATAAGAGTTATGTGTGTAACTACAGTTCTATGAATCTTGGACTGGCACCAGAGGGTGGCGTTTAAAGCATGTGTACAAAGGGTCATTGAGTGCTTTAAGCACCGCCCTCTGGTGGTCAGTAGGGATGAAATAGAAGTGATTATTAAAAACACCTGATGACATGAGTGAGTTCATCAGTGGATTTTTAGTTTGAGAAAACAAACTGGAAGACAGATGGATGGAAAGAAGCTGTGTGTGAGAGAGAGACTCATACTTAAGCTTTGTCTTGTCTTACCTAAATATATAGAACCAGTTCATAGTGTAATTTGAAAGCTGAAGCTTAGCTGAAAAGTGGTTTTTTTTTGGTTTTTTTTTTTGCTTTGCTTTTTCGTATTTCTGTTGCTAAACTCTACGTTTTATCTATTGTTCCTTATATTGTTCCTATAGTGAGGCTGTGGCCAGTCTGGTTGGCGCTGTACCTGTTTTTACAAAGCCTTCCAAATACGCAGCGTGTTAACTCCTCTCGGCAGCGGCTCTTGCGCAGCCCATTAATAAAACAGGGAGCAGGGGACGTGACAGGACTGACAACCACAATGCAACTGTCCATCCGGAGCAACAGCCGGGGTAACCGAGGATACAGGGACAAAAAATAGATATTTGAACTGATAAGATGCAGAGGGAGAGCGGAGAGGAGAAGGCAATGAAGTGAAGGAGGCTGCGATGGGGGGAGGGGCACTGGTCCTGGTTTGTCTGCAGGGATTGAGCACTCTCAGTCGGGGAACAAACCGCCACAGCCCCCCCTCCCTTTGTCTGAACCTCCACGTACCCTGCGTAGACCAAATATAAGCACGCATATGGGAAAAGGCTAATGAGGAGAAAGCCAAGCAAGCACTGATGTACCACGATGTAATTATTATTCCAATTTAGTCAAAAAACAGACAGGATACAGTGCAGAGGAGGAGGAGGAGGAGTGCAGCGGTTACGTCATAGGTCAATGCGGTTTGACTCTGTGCTATGGTTTTCTCGCTGTTGGGAATTGAAAAACAAAAATGCATTTTAATATCGGAATACAGCTTGTTTCGAGAGAGCGGGGCAGAGAAGGAAGTAGAAAAGCTTATATAAAATGCTTTGTTAACGGATAGTGCAAATATTGAAATGCAAGAGTTGTGAAGTTTCAATCTTGGACACGTAAAGATGTAGGAGACTGAATATATGGCACAGAGCTAATTACATTTGATTGATTGTTCTCTTGTTGTTATAAAGAGTATTGGCAAAAGAATTGAATATGCACCATAGCATATTAGAAATTGACATGGAAAAGCTCCCACTAGCTTCCTGGTTGCTTGCGTTGTTTCCATGGCAACAGGCTCACTACGCTGGAGCCAAAAGTGGAAATAAAGTCGTGTTGAATTAATTAGTCCCATGTCTAAAGAGGCACTGTGCATAGCATGTGGTGTAGCATAACATGGGCTCTTCATTTGTCATTACATCTTCATCATGTAGGGCTGGAGAATTGTGGGAAGATAAGGAATTAGGCTACTTTTTTTTTTTTTTAGATAAATGTTGCCATAAAAACAGGATGCAAAACTATAAACTTTTAACTAGTTCAGTAATCACGCATACATTTATATTATGCTCTTTTTGGATCTATGTTATAATCTTGTTTCCTCATCAAAAACAGAGCTGGACTTGTGTTTTGTTTCATTCACACAAGTTTAACACGCAAATCCTGCATATTTAGGCTGAGAAAACACTCAGTTCCACCTTGTGATGTCATGTGGTAATACAGAAAGTGCTCCATTGTGTTTTTAATCTCCATACTAGGGCTGGGTATCGTTAAAAAGTTGCTTATACTATGCATAATTCGATACATAGGCCACGATACGATACATATCTCGTACAGTGAGTTTTCGATTCAATACGATTCGATACGATATATTTCAAATCGATTCAATACAGTTCAGTAAAAAAACAATGGCTAAATCATGGCTGTGATACTAAAAGTCTTTGTTAGGGGTGTAACAATATCCAAGTCTCACGATACGATATCGTCACGTATGAACCTCACGGTACGATAATCGTGAGCCTCCCCACCATATCGTGGGAAAGCTCACAGGATGGTGGGGGAAGCTCACGATTAGGGATGTAACAATATCCAAAACTCTCTGTACGATATTTTCACGATATACATCTCACGGTATGATATTTATTGCAATATTTTGTGGAGGTTAACAAAACTTGTAATTCAATATATTGTGATGGTCCACGATATTATTGTGAGAACTTTGATGATATGATATCACGATATTTCAGTTATTGTTACACCCCTAGTCTTTGTTAAACCATGTCTTGTGCAAAGTTTAAAATTTACTCATCAAAACCTTGAATATGTCAAATGTGTTACATAAATGAGTTTCCTTCCTCTAAACAAGCAACAAAATTGCAGCGCAACAAAATAATTTATTAAAATATACCAAAAAATACTATTGGCGATATATCATTACAGCAGCCTCCGATATCGATACTGTAGCATCATATTAAACAATGATACGTACATCGATATTTCAGTATTTTGGCACACCCCTACTCCATATACCATCAGAAGAAACATTTGGATGATTTCAGCCCTGGAATTGCCCATCTCTACTGAACAGATAAAAGTAGCTGTTAACTTGAAAACTATAGCTTCATGACATCACAAGGTGGAACAGAGCATTTTGAGCTTTGGAGATGTAAACAGACTAATAATAATAATAAAGGGTTACTCAAACATGTGTGAATGAAAAAAAACACAACTCTGTGTATGTTTTTGATGAAGAAACAACATTCTAACATGGCTTAAAGCTGAAGAGTCAGTTTTTGCGTATTATACAACCTTTAATTAGGAAAAAAAAAAACGGTTTAAGCTGTTTTTTGCTATCTGTGATCATTCAAATTACAGTTCTGATCCAATTGTGCCTAAAGGTGTACTATAGTGATGTAACAATAACTGAAATATCATAATATGATATTGTCAAAGTTCTCACAGTAATATCATGGACCATCACAATATATCAAATTACAAGTCTCTTTGCTTAAATTAAGAGTTATTGTGCAGCAATAGCTAAAAAAAAGACAGAGAACTACATAGACCATGATCCTTTGCTCCATTTCAGTGCAGACTACAAGAAGAAATAACAGTTCTAAGCACTTTTAAGTCTTAGTTCTTTGGATTAAGTTTTGTCAAGGCATTTTAAGAGGAAAAAGTAGCATATTAACAGTTTTGTTTGCCTCGACCAAATATCACAATAAATATCGGACCGTGAGATGTATATCATGAAAATATTGTACCGAGAGATTTGCATATTGTTACATCCTTAATTGTGAGCCTCCCCATCATATCATAAGCTTTCCCACGATATCGCAATAAATACCATACCGTGAGGTTCATACCGTGTCGATATCATATCGTGAGACTTGGATATCGTTACACCCCTAGTGTACTGTGTAACTTTTCCGGTAGAGGGTCTTATAGTTGCTTGTCTCCATGGTGATGTATGTTTTATTTCACTTTGTCTGTAATGTTCCACAATATGGCATCAAACTTCTAACTTTATGGAAATGAACAAGTGATGCCACGAGGCCAAGTTACGGGTTAGATCTATGGAAAGGCAAGCCCACTCACACTAAGAATGCACGTCTTTCCAGGTATTTTTAAGCATCCCTAATGAAATAAACCTTAGATAAATTGATAGATACATTTAATGCCTTACAGTGAAACATGAGTATAAGCTTTAATCGTTCTTACCCCTATAAAAATGACCACAGTGTGAGTGTAGTGTGTGACAGGAGAGGCAGGAGGTGGCGCTAAAGATCATGTTTAAATTGGTGCCATGGAAACGCTTTGAAGTTTAAAGGGCCTCTATAGAGAAACAGGAGCAGCAGAAACATTCCACTTTAATGAACCTTATTGTGATGCTCAGTACACAGCCCTAAGGCAGTCCTCCTCCACTGACTCATGGAGTTTCAGATGCAAAACAGGCTTTGAAAACGGACAGAGGAAAGAAATTATATCCACGTATTTAGTTTTCTCCATTCTCTGATGTGCTTTAATGTGTTAACTGTGAAATGGAATAAGTAATTTGACATACAAAGATTTAATGAGGATGCATTTACACAAAAAGGAAACTTGAACTTAAAATGATGCGCTGTTAGAAATAGTTGTAAATACATTTTTACCCAAATGAACAACAAATAATATACCAGAATTCTGATGCAAAATATTATTTAAAATTCGACTGGATCATTCATGTATGGTTGAGTAATCTTGTACTGTCCTGCATTTAAGTGGTTAAAAACTTCCATTTTCACCTACCCCCTATCTCTGCCCCTGAGTATTTACTTGCCGACTCCAGGTCATACCATGCAGAGTTCAAAAATTTCAAGTAGCCATTTTTCAATGCAATAAACAATGAAAAAAGAATTGAAATGTATATTATAGTTTAATACTTAATACACCCTCCCCAGTTATTTTAATACCCCTCTATGTGTGTGTGTCACAGAGAAAGAGTTTGATGAGTACCCTGGGTACTACACGTCCAAACGCCGCTCAAACAACGCTCCTCCCTCGTTCCACTCATCACAGCACCACCTGCCCTGGGGTGGAGACTACACCCTGGGCTCCCGGGGCACCCTGCCTCTGCACGGCTCCAGGCCACGCCTCCACATCCCCACGTCCACCCCAAACCCCTACCCCCTTCCTGCACAGACCCAGTACACCAGCTCCACCTTCGACCGGCCGCCCCGACGTGTGCGCTCCCAGGACCAGCTGCTCGCTCTGGGGGAGGGCAACACGCTGTCCCGCCTCTCCAAGAACCAGCAGCACCAGTACTACAAAGCCATGATGAGCACCAGCCGCAGCTCCAACTCACAAACACTGCGCAGGTCAGACCTCATACTCTACTACTACTACTACTACTACTACTACTACTATTACCATAAATATGTGTACAAGAACACAAGTCTATAAGGTAGAGGTCATAAGAAATCACATACTCCATTTCACACATTCACAGATTCAGTTGACTGCCCATCAGCACATACTGTGTCCCATATGTAACACATGTAAAGACATGTTTAACACGTGTGTGTGCCTCAGGTCCCATGAGAGGCTCCTGGTGTCTCCGGACTGCCTGGAGGACCGCATCATGTCCATGGGGGTGATGGGGGCGGAGCGTTCGGGGATGGTGCCCACTATGGGGCGTTTGTCTCACCATCAGAAGGCCCAGTCTCAGCAGAACATCTGTGTGACTCCGTCCTTGGACCGGCACCACATGATCAAGATGAACTCCCACCCCACGTCGGGCCATGAGCACGAGCGGGGGTCCAGCGCGCCCTCGCACTGGGACCCCTACAGCGGCACAGGGGGGCACCCCAACGCCCGCCGCATGGCCTTCGCCAACAAGAGGCAGAATACCATCGAGCAGCTGCACTTCATCCCAGGGGGAGGAGGGGGGCAGGGGCTGCGGACTGGCAGTAAGAACGAGGTCACTGTGTGAGCCCGCGGCATCATGGGAAATGTAGGCAGTGAACAAAAGGGTCTCAAAGTGCGGCGCTGTCCCTCAGAGCTGCTCACAGACCCCTCCCCTGAACAAAAGTGGTGATCCTCCTTTAGTCCTTATGACGCGTAAAGCTTTGTCACTCTGTACATCGGAAACAGAATATGAGCCATTCTTTGTAAAGGGAAGACAGAAATGTCCATTTAAAAAAGCAAAAAACAGTGGCTCTGGCTGCTGGTCTCCGCTGTGACTTAAGTATTGGAACCTGATTTGTTGGATTTGTCTTTGGTTCATCCCTGTCCTCTGTCCTCAGAGCTCACAGGAGCGCTGAGACAGACGACAGAATTTTTCTTTCACTAAAAGTATTTCAAATGAAGCTTTTCTATGAAATGAATCTATGAGTAATGTCCCTCACTGAGCCCTGTACAACTGTGTATACTCGTTTGTATTTAGCAGCTAGTCGGTCCATTTGGACTATCACAAAGATGACCCATTCTCTGCAAAAACATGTTGAAATGCCTTTGGGGCTTGATTTGGATCTGAACAAACTGCTGCCATGCGCTGTGGAAGCCTTTGTACAGTGGTGTATATCTTTATAACATTGTGCTGTGTGACCCTTTGCATAAGTTCTCTCTGATGTAGAAGAATCACCTCACGACTCACGGCTCCACGCCCGGGACTTCTCACTGGTCCGGAGGTTTCTATGGCGACCACATGAGCCGCTCACCTGGATAAGGGGAGGGGCATAGGGGGGACAGAGGGGGAGGGGGGCGGGTGTGAGGCGGGACCGAGGACTCTTCACTCCAAGGGCTAAATAACTGTCTCTGTGCTCTGTACGGCTTCATACATTTGTACTTTTCGTGTGCGTCACTGTCGGAGGCATGCTTGTGTAAACTTGATTTTCTTCTCTTTGTTATAAAAGTGAGACAAGAAAATAACCATGAACTCTCAACAGCAACAGTGTTTTTGTATCCTCCAAGATTTAAGGGACTTTTGTGGCGTTTGGAACCTATGAACATGATTATTTATTTATTTATTTATATATTTATTTCATGAATTACTGTGCCATTCTTCCACGTGTTAGGCTGTGAGTTGGACCTTTCGGCTGTTCGGGCTGGACTTTAATGGTGGTTAAATGTAATCAGGGCTTTGTTTGAGATTCATAAATACGTCAAGTCATTTCCACCAGGGGGCAGACCGGAGATAACATTTTTTGTCGTGTGTATACAGAATTTTTAGATTTTGCTAATCCAAGGTAGCAACAATATGTATTTTAGGAACTTTGTCAAAATAGTTGTCGTTAGTATTAATTCAATTATTGGTAAGATAAATTGTATAGTAAAGTTTTAAAGTTTTCTGTTACATGCAACGTTTTGATGACTTTTTACCATTCAAAAGATATAATATTTTGTTTTAAATAGTTCATCGCTATGGCAACGGTCCTCATCGTGTAACTTTTCTGGGTCTATCACCTGTTTGCATGTGATAGCTTTGCCTAGAATATTCCGCAATATGGCATTTTTTCAATTATAGGTGTTACTCTTATCGAAAAATACTTGATTTTTGGTGAGGTCCACTGCTAGTCTCCATGGCGATTGCTGAGTTTAATGCTACTCTGTGGAACATTCCAGCCAAAGCGACATCATCTCCATGGAGAAAAGCAGTGTTTCGGACCCTCCTCCTGAAATGTTCCATAGTGCCCCTTTAAATTTCACTTCCTGAGTAACTTTTGTACCCCCTGGTGGAAATGGGGGTTCAGTTGTTGCCATGGTTTCTGATGATTGACAGAAGCTTTTCTCAGCCACTGTCTTTTACACTCTTCATTTCTTCATACTTTTGCATCATGTAAAGACCCCCCAAAACAACCACCTGTTTCTTTGATTCAAACATTATTTTTTTAATCTGTGAATTTTAATGTATATTCCTGAGATTTTGAGTATATTAAATCTTTCTAGTGGAATAATTAAAACAATATGAATAATATAAAATACATTTCTCTGTATTGTCCAGAACTAAAAGAGCTGATGCAATCATTATCGAGAAAATATGAACCGCATGTTGATGTCACAGGCCAGTGTTGATGATGTCACAGTGCTGACTGATGATGTCATGGCGTGTATGTGTGTAAATGTTTTCAGTTCAGTGTATTTTGTCTTTTTACAGAAACGGATCTGCTTTATTTTATTGGAACGTGGGTTTTTGGTCTTTCGAGACATTTTAAAAAATCGTTACATGTTCATATCAACTCGTGATGAATTTTAAGTCCTGTAAAATAATTGAAAAACAAATTTGAGATTTTCTTTATGGGCAACATTCACCAAAGCAAGATTTTTTACATTCTAAAATGTAAATGATTATATTGTGACAATTTGGTAAGAGTAAATTAAGGTTTTGTGATGTCCTTTTTTTCATCCATATTTGAAGAGTTAAAGGGCACTAAACTTGTGCAAGCTTTTTGTTATGAATTAGCAAGTTTGTGTAACTACTTTGATAGAGGGTCCAACATCTGCTCTGGAGATACTTTTGCTTTGCGTAGAATGTTCCGCAGTATAGCATTACGTTAAACTATTGTGCATTAGATCTGACCCTGTAACTTGACTCTGCAGGGGTCAAGTTACTCCTCATTTAATTTATGTATTCTGAACATTTTAATGATTAACCACGACGACTTTATAAGCATTTTTTATATCTCTCGGAAACCAGAGCGTTTTGCTGTGATGATGAAGTTACTACTAGCATGCTAATGTACACTTCCTGATTGTCTGACAATAAAACACTTAATAATTCAATGCAGACAGTACATAGCAAACTTATTTTGATCTCAAGAGCTGCTTATACAATACATAAGTACTAGTATGTGGCAAAATCTGGATGTCAGGAACATTTTTAAAAAAAGCAGTAGTTACATCTCCATAGAGACAAGCAGGTGGTGGACCCTTCAACAGAAAAGTTACATAGTGCTTCTTTAAGTTTAGATGAAACTATAATGAATGAACTGTGTGCTGTTCTAAAGTCAAACTCTTGATTCTAACCTTACAGTAGAGAGAGTGAGGACAGCACGTCGCCTGTACACACCATAAGCCATAATGTAAATATGGAGATCCTCTTCTGTTATGAACCAACCTCAAGCCATGGACACAGACCCACTTTAGATTTGTGGTACCATTTAATCTAAGTCCAACAAACGTTCTTGTTACTTTGCTCAATTTTAACACCTGGATAGTGAAAATCTTCCCTTCACAGGATGTATGTTAAATAATGACTTATTGTTATGTCATAGTTAAAGCCATCTGAAAATATTCAAACTATTCACCTGCGAAACATGCACACTCAAAATCTGATTATGATATTTGGTGTTACAAGACCATTAAATGACTATTAAAATGTTCTTGTTCTTAAAAAATGGTCTTCACTATATGTATGATAATGATTACTCACACGAAATTTTACAGTTTACATGTTATTTAAAGCATCTTAAAGGTCCAGATATAAGACTCTAATCAGATTTTGGTGTCATGAATGTGGGTACTAAAAATCTGATATTTGTCCTAAAACATTTATAAACGAACTGTAAATGAGAGCACGTTTTTATGCTCCTATATTTTATTGAATATGTTAGAAAAGTAGACAAAACCAAATACTTTAAAGGAGATATTAATACATGATAAATCTCGACTGGTACTCCCTGTCCTCTCTGAAGCCCTGAGTAAGATCTTGTTCATGTAACTTGAATTGTCCCATTAAACCGTGTGTGTTTCTGTTGTGTGAATGCTCTGTTGTGTTCACTGCTGCTGGGGCCGTGGGCAGATTTGTCATTGAAAAAGCTACTCTGCATACCTCAACTTGTATGATACATTTATTTAGACATCCCTCTCTATGTCTATCTCCAAGAATATCCAAACTGAAGGTCTCACTGATGTGCTACCCTTTTGTTATTGGTGATCAAATCTTGCGTTTGTAGAAACCATACTGTTGATAATTATAATAAAAAATCCCACTAAACCACATGGCTGAGTGCTTGTGTCTTATTTTAGATTCAAAGATCCAAATGTTGTGCATAATATTAATGTTGGTACATAAGTTTTAAGGGGCTTGGGCAAACATTCCTCTACCATGGACATTTTAGAAGTGTGCATTGTAGATAGTGTTGGGGAGTAACAGATTACATGTACCGGAGTTACGTAATCAGAGTACAAATTATGAGTAACTGTATTCAGTTACAGTTACTGTTTCAGTGAGAGGTAATTGGATTACAGTTACTTTGTTGAAATAAATGGATTACACGGCGGTATTTTCCTGTTTTCACATTTTGGGGCTATACCCCCCCCCCCCCCCCTTTTTTTTTCCCCTCGGTAATTCCACTCATTGCCGGACACTAAACCAGGTCTAAACCAGGTCTAAACCAGGTCTAAAACCAGGTCTAAACCAGGACTAAACCAGCTAAACCAGGACTAAACCAGGTCTAAACCAGGACTAAAACCAGGACTAAACCAGGACTAAACCAGGTCTAAACCAGGTCTAAACCAGGTCTAAACTAGGTCTAAACCAGGACTAAACCAGGACTAAAGCATGACTAAACCAGGACTAAAACCAGGTCTAAACCAGGACTAAACTAGGACTAAACCAGGACTAAAACCAGAACTAAACCAGGTCTAAACCAGGATTTAACAGGACTAAACCATGCTGCATGGACCGTGTCTCCTCCTCTTCTATCAATAATATTTTTTTTTAAAACTCTGCCTTTTCATTTTCTTTTAGCAAACAAAACATCTTATGTGAAGATTTCCTCGTCTTTGCTTCTCTACAACAAATCAAGTAATCCAAAGTATTCAGATTACGTTACTCACTTTAAGTAATTTAAAGGATTACGTTACAAACTACATTTTGGGGTATGTAATCTGTAATCTGTAGGGGATTACATTTTAAAAGTCACCTTCCCAACACTGATTGTAGATAAACTCATATGGAGAAACATTATTTAATATGTTAGAAAAGATGTA